GCATATATAGAGAACCAAAAATAATTAAAAATTTACATCTTTTAGAGATGCAGACTAATTTCATTTGGTTATAGATAACTGTCAATGGAAGAAAAATGTTAGAAATAGGAAGTTTAATTTACTGTGCAATGAGGTGAATGATTAACATTATGCATTGAAATTTCTCCTGTTAAATTTCTTCAATGTGATAATTCATTTATCAGCTACTTTTGTAATGATCTAACAATACAAAATTAGCACCATCAGGGAACATGAAGTAACAAGACCTAAGCTATATATGACTCCTATTTGGCCCCTGCATTGTTGTCTTTTCATAGAAAAAATAACTGGAATGTGCAGGCTTACTTTACATTTCCCCTCTATCAATCTCTGATTTCCCAAAGATTGTTTCTCATTGATCAAGTTGAAAAGGAAAAAGTGTAGTCTATTAAGCTGTTAGAATAAAACAAATAGCGTTGGAGTCAGGCATAATCACAGTTCTGTGGTTCCTATGTGGCATGCTACTCAGGAAGCCTCTTGTCAGCTCTAAGATTCTCAGTTTCTCATTTTTGAAATAAAAAAACAAACAACCCAACAAATAACCTCAGTTTGGAAAATCTCTGATTCTTTAGTGATACAAATATAGTGATTTGCAGCAGGATAGCAGCCACTGCTGGTTAAGTAGTCAAGTGATGAGACAGAATTTTATTTGTCTTTATTTATTTATTTATTTATTTAATTTATTTTTTTTTTGAGACAGAGTCTCATTTTGTCACCCAGGCTGGAGTGCAGTGGCGTGATCTAGGCTCACTAAAACTCCTGCCCCCCAGGTTCAAGCAATTCTCCTGCCTCAGTCTCCCAGGTAGCTGGGATTATAGGCGCTTACCACCATGCCTGGCTAATTTTTGTATTTTTAGTAGAGATGGGGTTTCACCATGCTGTCCAGGCTGGTCTCGAACTCCTGACCTCAGATGATCCACCCGACTCGGCCTCCCAAAGTGTGTGAGCCACTGTGCCCGACCAGAACTCATTTTGTAAAATAGATCACTCTGGCTGCTGTGAGAAGATCACCTGTGAGAAATCCACATGGAAGCAGGTAAGTGGTTAGGAAGCCACCACCATTGTCCAAGTGAATAGCAATGGTGTCTGTGATTCCACAGATTGAGGTGGATTCTAAAGGACATGGTCATACTTAAGCAACACGTGATATGAGATGAAAGAGAAAGAGACGTTTATGGCCTGAGCAATTGCTATGTTCTAAGAGGATAAAAACAAACGGTACAAATGAAGATACTCCCAATCACTCCCAGTTGTAGTGTGCTTATTATGTGTCAAAGCACTGTTTAACACGTATTTATTAATTTAATCATCAAAACCAAACCTTGAGATAAGTACTATTTTTAATCCCACTTTACAGATGAGGCAACTGAGGGAGACAGTGGTTATGTGACTTGCCCAAAGTCAAACACAGTGGAGCTGAGAAGGGAAACCGAGTTATCTGGTTCTAGCATCCATGTTCTTAGCCACTGGGCAATATGACCTCACTGTGCAATATGACCTCACCAAACAGGGACAAGTGCATGTTTTCTGAGAAGGAAACTGAAATATTTAAGACATACAAAGATATTCCTTCTTATATGTGAATGTTGGTTTTAAATTAAAATAATTTATGGGCAGAAAGGACAGTTACTTCCCTGTTATATCCAATACATGATGTTTACTATATTCTATTCTTTTACTCTGTGAGACTAATAAGGATTCATTTATTCAGATTTATATTGTCTATGTTCGTGACTAGGAAAGTGCCTTCTAAGCAATGTCTTTTGTAAGAACTGGGTTTTGTTTTTATTTCGTTACCAAGAGAATAGATACATGTGTGGTTGTTATAGCTTACCAAATGTGTTGCTCTCTTTGTATATTAGATTTTGAGGGCATCAAGTCTGAGTAAGAAGAGTCTCTTCTCCTGTCTCATTGCACTGTAGCTAAGCAGTCTTCTATCACAGCCCAGAAATGCCAGCTGTATTCTTTTACTTCCTAATCTTCCCTTCTAGACTGTGAGATATTTTAGAGAAGTGTTTATGTCAGTTATATCTGTGTTAGGTATATAGTAGGTTGTTAATAAATATTTGTAGGAGAAAATGGAACTTGGTGTGAGAAAACACAGATTTGCAAGTCAAATATAAATAGGCTGGCAATTAACAGAGCAAACAAATAAAAAATAGATTACTAGGAGACAAGAGTCTTCCAGGGGAAATAAAATAAACTACTTACTAGGATAATTCATCACTGCTGCGCACGTTTATTTAGCTCAGTGGTGCATCAGCACTGTTTAAAAACAGCTTATTGATGCTATTATTTACATGTTTGATATGTGTGTAGCCATTGATCAGTTAAACTGAAGGACACCTGAACTAACTCAATATAATTCAATAAATCATGTTAATATTAGCAATTAATTTAAAAAGCTCATTGATAAAAATAATAGCTAAAATTTTATAGTATTTGCCATATTATTTGCATATATACATTTGTTTAATCCTCATTACAACCCTGTAAGGATGATATTATTATTATTATTATATCCACTCTGCAGATGAGTGAAATAAGGCACAGTGGTTAAGTGGCTTGTCCAAGTTTACCCAGCCTCTAAGTGGATATGCAGAAGAAATAGGATTTAAACCCACACATAAGGCTCTGCAGGTTGTTATGTTCAGCATATGCTATACTGTTCTGTTAACATCTCACTCTCTCCCCTCAATACAATTTTTTTCCTAAGCGCAAAATAATTAAACAGCAACAACAGAAGCCACAGCAAGCACATCCAGGTCTCTGCTAAGGATGTGAATAAATTATGTTGTTTAATGTCCCCAATAATCAAGTCACAGTGGTATTATCTCCACTTTCATATGAGGAAATTGAGGCAGAGAAGGATAAGTTACTGCTCTATGCTGTAGAGTTTTGAGAGAGAGACAACTAGAATATGAGAAGGAGAAGAAACCATCCTCAAAGAGTCAGTAACTCATTTACTATACAAGAAAACCCAAGCCCAGTAACTTTGCCTGAATGCTTTTGGGGCTGGGGCAGAAAATCACTAGATTTAGCTCTTCTAGGAAGAGTCTTATTAAGAAAGAATCCTGAGAAAGCGTTTCTAAATTTTAATATATTTTATTGTATGGGTTTTTAAATTTGTTTTAATTTGAGATGGAGTCGTGCTCTGTCACCCAGGCTGGAGTGCAATGGCGCAATCTTGGCTCACTGCCACCTCTGACTCCTGGGTTCAAGTGATTCTCCTGCCTCAGTCTCCTGAGTAACTGGGATTACAGGTATGTGACACCATGCCCAGACAATTTTTGTATGTTGAGTAGAGACAGGGTTTTGCCATGTTGCCTAGGCTGGTCTCGAACTCCTGACCTCAGACAATCCACCAGCCTCAGCCTCTCAAATTGCTGGGATTACAGGTGTTAGCCACCACACCCAGCCACTTTTCTAAATTTTAGTATATTTTAATGGCTACATGTCTAACTTACTTACGTTAGCATTCATGGATTAAATATCTCAAGGAAGTTACATTTGTTCATATTCGTTGGTAGGCATATCATTGAAGAATTGTCTTGTTCATAAATTAAAACTGTCATATTACTCTTACATAAAATAATGTATTAAAGATCTTTTAATTACAACAATAAATTATTAAATAAAATTGTACTGATGCAATTATTTGTAAAAATTTTCCTCACTTGTTTATAAAATGACAAGAATTTTAATGAGTTATAAGAACATGTAACCCAAGAGTTAGGGGCTATTTTTCCATTTCTTTTGTTGGGATGGTAATACTGAATTTGAGGCAAGTTAATATTCTGTGAGTTCATATTCTAAACACTAAAAAAAAAAAAAAAAGAAAAACAAACAAAAAATAAAAAAAACAAGACAAACAAAAATAGAAAGTACATAGTATAAAAGAAAAACAATGCTGGATGCAGTGGCTCACACCTGTAATCCCAGCACTTTGGGAGGCCGAGGAGGGAGGATCACGAGGTCAGGAGATTGAGACCATCCTGGCCAACATGGTGAAACCCCGTCTCTACTAAAATACAAAAAAAACATTAGCCAGGTGTTGTGGTGTGCGCCTCTAGTCCCAGCTACTTGGGCGGAAGAGGTCAGGGGAATCGCTTGAACCCAGGAGGCAGAGGTTGCAGTGATCACACCACTGCACTCCAGCCTGGTGACAGAGCGAGACTCTGACTCAAAAAAAAAAAAAAAAAAAAAAAAAAAAAAATTAGTCATGATTTATCTGGAACTAGATTCAAATAGTTAAAAGTGTGACTAAACTGTGTTTAACTGGTTCAGCTCTGTGGCTCATGCCTGTACATTCCAACACTTTGTGAAGGCAGGTGGGTGGATCACTTGAGGCCAGAAGTCCGAGACCAGCCCGGCCAACATGGCGAAATCCCATCTCTGCTAAAAATACAAAAATTAGCTGGACATGTGGCACACTCCTGTAATCCCATCTACTCTGGAGGCTGAGGCAGGAGAATCAATTGAACCCAAGAGACAAAGGCTGCAGTGAGCTGAGATCGCACCACTGCACTCCAGCCTTGGTGACAGAGACTCTGTATCAAAAAAAAAAAAAAAAAAAGTGTTAAACCATTAAAATTCCCAATTACTTTACTTTTATCTGTAAAGTAGTAATATATTTCTCACAATTATGATGATCAAATGGGCCATTATTTTAAAAGTGTTCATTCTATAAAAGTTGTATAATAAATACTATTGTCATCATGAGATTCAATCTTAGCCCTTTATAGGATGAATTTAGGTTTGAATATTTCAAAATTTCCACGTTCTGCAAATATGTTTGCACTTATATTAACCTCTTTCTTAGTATATTTTTTTACACCTATCTGCCAAGAAAAATTCGTCATTTTTTAGTAACCTCATCCATGGATTAAGTTTCTTTCTCCTAATATGCTTTGGAATTGTTTTCTGGCTGTCTTTTACATTTGCCTTTCTTATTTCGCCAGGCAGATGACAGCTTTCAATCCCTGATGGGTGAGAGAAGAGGGGAGGCCTTCTTCCAGTGAGTACTGCAGGCATCCCTGGGAACAGCAGCTGAGAACAGGAGGGTTTTCCGGATAATCCAAATGGCATATGGAATGCAAAGGAATGATAGTTAGATGATCCGTTTGCGTTCTATTAACCAGTTGTCACATTCAGGAGTCATGACATTTTCCATGTTCTGACCTCTTTGACTTCTAATAGATGCAAAAATATATGAAACTTATAGATGATATATTGAATATCCAGAACAGGTTTTGGTGGGTCTTGTTAAGGTTTTCACGTGTTTGGCGTGTTACTAGTTCACACTGGAATTAAAAAAGCCTTCAGAGTTCAGGCTTTATGCATTTACAGTTTAAGCCACACTAGTTTAAACATGTTGGGAGCAAGTCCATACCTTGTACTGGAACATAGAGAATATGGAACATGCCTATTAGACGTGGGAGCAGTGAATATTGATTTGCTCATGCATTATCCACACCATCCATATAGTGGAAATTAGTTTTATTCCGTTTCTTTTCCACTTAGTAAAGGTGGATTTTTCTAACTTACTGACCTCTTCTGGCATTAAAAACCAGTGCTGCGATTTGCAAAAGTGTTCTATCTTTCAGACCACTCCCTCCCCTCTGCCAATAGACTGTCAGTGATAATTAAGTCTTTAATTAGGAAGGATGACAAATTATCTTGGCCGTATTGCTGTCTATATTTCTTACTCTTAGATATAGTTGATATTTTTGCTTTAAAAATGTTAATATATTTCATGATGTCATGCAATCTGTACTGTTCTTCAGTAGTTGTAACATTGTAATATTAATTGCTTTAAAAATTTTTTATTGGGATGATTCGAATTAGGCCAATTAAATATCTTTGAAAATAATATCTAAATTACATTATTGACTTGGACTTGAAATGTTCCTGGGCTTTTCCAATGAGACCACGCCTTTTACTGAATATAAAAACTGCAATATTCAAAGCTTGGGAGGTAGGTGGTCAGTACTGGTGGGAAGATTCAGATTTGGGGTTAAATTTTAAAGGCAAGAAATGTGTAAAACAATATAGCCCAGTTGCTGGCTTTTACGGGTGCTATTGGAAAACGACCTTACACATTTTATGTTAAAAGGTGACTTTCTTCTGAAAGAAATTTTATTTTGACTTTATTTTTTGACAGTTTTCCTAGAAATAAAGTGAAGCATTCTTCATATCTAGTTTCCAGGCACAAAGACTCACATCTTACCAAAGATTCAAGTCTCTCATTCTTGTTCCTCAATAGTTAGGGCAATAGCTTTCAGCACAGGCAAGTTTGTGTCTTACTAAATCTGTCTTTTCATTCTCTTCAAAGGTAAAAGTCCCTCCCTTAGAAAATGTTCATCTCATACCTTGTGCAATCATTAGAGACTATAGACATGTTTCTTGAACCACTATGCATTTAAGTTTCTAGAAAAATGAGCCTGCAGCCACAGAATTTTTAAGAGAAATAAATGTGACAACCTAATTTCCTTTTTCCCCCTGAAAATCTATTTAGTAGATTTAGCAGGTGAGACATGTGTAGTTCAGAAGTACCTATGAAGGACAGTTGGTAACGAAGTACTTTAATGGTTTAGAGAAATTGTGTTCTCCTGCAGGACAATAAAATTGCTAATGGTCAGTTACACTATTTTAATATGATTTTCTCCTTCTGCGTAGATTATTGCTACAGTAGAACTGAGACTACTGAAACTGCCAAACTCCCTCATCCTCTTTTGGTCAAATTTCATTTACTGACAAAGTAGTCCATACTTCTCCTTTCTTCTTCACCTTGCCCCTACCCTCTCTCATCTGACTTTTACTTTAGGGAAAGAGGCTTTTCTCTATGGCCTGATGTGCCCCCAACATAATTAGTGTCCTGTGCCTTCTTGCTATAGTTGCCACTTTTGACCCAATGTCTCCTTATTTTATTTTCTGAGGCTCTACATTCTGGAAAACTCAGTGTCTACTTACAGCTCTCCATTTACATGAGAATGTTATATGCTTGTTAGAAAAATTTGAGCCAGGTGCAGTGGCTCATGACTGTAATCCCAGCACTTTGAGAGGCTGAGGCAGGCGGATAACTTGAGGTCAAGAGTTCGAACCAGCCAATATGGTGAAACTTCGTCTCTACTAAAAATACAAAAATGAGCTGGATGTGGTGGCACGCACCTGTAGTCCTATTTACTTGGGAGGCTGAGGCAGGAGAATCACTTGAACCTGGGAGGCGGAAGTGGCAGTGAGCTGAGATCACACCATTTTACTCGAGCCTGGGTGACAGAGCAAGACTCTCTCTCAAAAAAATGTTTTGTTGATGTTCAAACAGTGTCATTTTTTTTTCTCCTTCCTTTTAGCTGTGGGTTGTTTCCAAACATGGAGATTGGGTTATTGATGCAACCAGTAAGTAATATAGCAAATACTTGTGTTGCCACTTCCCAGAATCAAGTATTTTAAACATGGCAAATATTTTGTCCAAATTATTTTGTCCTTAAAAAAAAATAAAATCTAGAAATATATTAAAAGTTAATTAAAAAATTAATTTTACTTCCCTTTGACAGCATCCCCACTCAGGTTTACTTGACAATTGACAATACATTCTGTGCATTTAATGTATATCTTTAAAAGACATACATACATAAAAGACAAAACAAAACACCCTGTGTGTGTATAAACCCACTGTAGGTACATGTTTGTGTGTCTGTGTGTATATTATGTATTTATAAATATTATATAATTCTGCATTGCTTAGACTGAAAAATTTGCAGAATTGGTAGCGTTTGGTAATTAATATACTATAACTTGATTTTATTTTTTACCGAACACAGTATTTTTTAGATATTTCCCTGATAGTACCTTCTTTTTTTCTCATTATTGCTCTGTTAGCTTCACTGGCTTTTGTTTAGTTTCTTTTTCTTTTCTTGTTAATTTGAAGTTGTATGGTCTTGTTAACAAAGTTAATAAATTATAATGTTAACAAAGCATAATGATAATTAGGATCTATATTCTTTTTCTAGGCAAGGTAAATAATTTAGTGTATATGAAACTCCCTACAATTTCTCTAAGCATAATTCTTTCCTATGGTTTCTCAAATATGATATTCATCTTAAGTTTAAAATATTAAAAATTATTAATACAATTACTATTAATGGACATGTATTTAGATTTAGCTGTATGTGCTTTTACTAGTTTTTTCCTTACATCTTATTTTTTTCTAGATCATTTTTCTTCTTGTTAAACTTATCTTTCAATGTTTCTTCTATTGGGGTCTGTGAATCGCAACATTTTCTAGTCATTGCATTTATAAACATTTTTATTATTTTTTTTATTACTCCAATCATATTAGGCACTGTTTACTCTGTCATTTTAACTCAAAAATATAATTTTTATTCTTCATGTACTTTACATTGAAGTACATGATGAACAAATTTTTATGAATTTAAATTACAGCCTCTTATTGATGACATTTTTTAGCTCACTATGTCTAAAAAAAAACTTTCTTAATTGCACTATGGCCCTATTGTATCTCTAATCTAAATGTCACCCACCTCCATTATTTTTATTCCAATGGCAGCTCAAACTCAATGTATTTAAAGTTGAGCCAATTATTTTATCTTTCTAAACAGCTCCCCCTGCAAGTACATTATTTCTAAGTACATCATTTCACTTTGTATCACTATTGTTTCAAAATCAATTCTGTGATTTACTTCCCTGTATTCAATCTGTATCTAATTCCTTTGAATTATCTTTCATTTTCTCCTCTTTTTATATTTTTGTTGTTATTATAGTAACACAGGCCCTTATCAACCTTCATCTAGACCTCTATCATATTTGTTAACTGATCTCCATGCTTTCAGTCTTTTTCAGCTGCACAATCTATACAGTACAAAGCTATCAAAGTAATCTTTTTAAAACACAAATAAACATACCAGTTTCCTTTGCTCAAAATCTCCAACAGTTTCCCATTTTAAATAAAAGTACGTCTATTATACTTACGCTTTGAGACTCTGCATAATCTTACTCAAGCTTACCAGACAGCATGCTCTCTTGTGTGTTAAGACTTTAAGTACTTACTTTTCTATTTTATGTACTCTTCTCACTATTCTTTGAACACCAATTTTCCCTTACTCGGTGAATTTACTCGAGTTGCTTTTATATGTGCCTCTATCTCTGGAACCATGGCCCTTCATACTCTCTTTTATTTATTCTAAGATTACTCTTCTTCAAATTCTGTTTCAAGGCCCATATCTGACTGGGGGTGGTGGCTCACACCTGTAATGCCAGCAATTGGGAGGCTGAGGCAGGAGGGTCCCTTGAACCTAGGAGTTCAAAACTAGCTGGGCAACATAGGGAGACATCATCTCTATAAATATTAAATAAAATAAAAATTAGACATTTGTGATGGCAAGTGCTTCTGGTCTGAACTACTCAAGAGTCCGAGGTGAGAGAATCACTTGAATCTGGGAGGTTGAAGCTGTAGTGAGCCATGATTGTGTTACTGTACTTCAGTCTGGGCAACAGAGTGAGATCTTGTCTCAAAAAGTAAAATAAATGCCCCTATCCTCTCTGAAATCTTTCTCAATTCAACTTCAAGACAATTAACATTTATTAAATGACTATGAGGTATTAGAAATTGTAAGGAGTACTGAGATGCATAAACATTTTAAAATTTATAACAGTGATAAGCAATTTTGCAACTGTTTTTTATGCCAAATTATTATTCAAAAGGCACAAATGATGAAAACATACTATTAGTTTTAGTTGCTAGCAGGATCACATTCAACTCAAAGATCAGGAAAGGCATTTATAGAAGAGAGATCATCTAAGACAATTTTTAAAGATGCAAAAGATATATATTGTGAAGTTTTACATAGATAAGGATAGGAAGGGTAATCTAAGTAGATATAAAAATATCTGTAAAAGTTTGGACTCAAGAGCTTTTTTCTTCATATTAGTCTGCTCAGGCTTCCATAACAAACCACTATAGACTGGATAGCTTAAAGAACAGACATGTATTTCTCACTGTTCTGGAGGCTGGGAAGTCCAAGATCAAGGCCCTGGCAAGGTCCATTTCATTCTGAGGCCTCCTCTCTTGGCTAGTAGGCAGTCACCTCACACTGTGTGCTTACATGGTTTTCTCTTTGTGCACGCAGAGAGAGAGCTCCTCCTCTTTTATAAAAACACCAACTCTGTTGGATGAGGGTTCATCCTTATGATCTCATTTAGCCTTAATCACCTCCCTAAAATCCCTATCTTCAACATAGTCACATGAGGGTCAGGGCTTCAACATGAGTTTAAGGGAACTCAATTCAATCCACAGAAGTTCCTGGCTGGGTGCGGTGCCTCATGCCTGTAATCCCAGCACTTTGGGAGGCTGGGGCAGGCGGATCATAAGGTCAAGAGATTGAGACCATCCTGGTCAACATGGTGAAATCCTGTCTCTCCTAAAAGTACAAAAATTAGCTGGACATGGTGGCATGTGTCTGTAATCCCAGGTACTCAGGAGGCTGAGATAGGGTAATCACTTCAACCCCGGGAGGCAGAGGTTGCACTGAGCAGAGATCATGCCATTGCACTCCAGTCTGGACGACAAGAATGAAACTCCATCTCAAAAAAAAAAAAAAGAAGTTACCATCACACTTTGTGGCAAACATAGTGTTTTATAGGATTTGAGCTTAAGGTGTATTTAAAAGAAGAAAACAATGAAATTATTATGTGGGACAAATAAGGGAAATAATGCATACTGAGTTTCAACCATAACTCAGAACTTATCTGGACATTTCTCATTTATTATGCTTTATAAGATAGAGTTCAGGGGCCCAGAACCACCACATTGCACAATTCCAGAAAATATTATTTGCATTACAAATTACGATTCAAAATCAATGCCTCAAGGAGTTACAGAAACCATCAACTAACAGATATTCTTAAATTTGCAGGATGGCAAGTAAAGAAAAGAAACAACTTGCTGAAACACTGAAACTCCCTCGCTTGTAAGATAACAAAAAGGACTGAAATCAGTTAGAACCAATATGGCCAACTACAGACTGCGCAGAACCAGCCTGCAGACAGTACAACTTGAATTTTCACCCTTTGTTTTACACTAACTCACCACAAATTTGCATGTGGGACCCACAAGGGAACAGGAAGAGATAACTGTGCATGTCTGAGGGCTTTCCTGACCTTCCCTTTCCTTCTATCCATCACCTACTAATCCCAGAATCCACCTTCTCAATCCTTTCTAATACAATTAATGTCTTAGAGCTTGCGTGAGTAGATGGATTTGAGCTGAGATGATGTCTCCATGTTAGTCAATTAGCAATTGACTAATTGAAAAACTAAGCAATTGAAAAACTAAGGAGTTTTTCTTGTCTTAAAACCCAGCATCATAGCATTGGCTTCTAGTGCATTAGGCAGTGAGCCGCTTTTGCTTGATGATAGCACCACTAGAACTTTGGATTCTACAGCTTGCAAGGGTCTTTGCAGTGGCCTTGATGGAAAGGGCAAGGGCAACTCCACAACAACTCAAATACTTCTGACAGTAACTAGAATATTTCTGATAAGCTTTTGAAATATTTTATTGATGCAATCAGTTCATTCTAGTCAAAGGAAAGAGATTCATGTTATCTAGGACTTCTTTTTCCACAGAATACTCTAAGTATACCTCCCACCACAGAGATTTAATAGTGCAGCCTAAAAAAAAACAAAAAAAAAACCCCCAAAAAAACCACACTGTGCTTTTCTGGTTTTAGTCCTTCAACTCTGTATGTTAGAAGATGAACTCTCAAGGTCCTGGTGTTTTTGATTCTTTATTTCTCCCAAAGTTGTCTAATAAAAATACATTTAATCTGTCAACCCCCTTACATCACTATCCGGAGCTGTCTGGCCCGGCCATAGCGATTATAACTGACGACTGACGCCTAAGCTCTATACATTTCCACTTTATGCCTCCTCCCTAGATTTACTTTCTTCCCTGTTCTGCTGTCTCATACGCCAGTACAAAATGGCGCTCTTCCTGGTTCTTCATCACCCATTTTCCCGCGCCCGGGAAAATGATCAATTTACAGCGCAGGCGCCATCCCGCGCCCGGGAAAATTACCAACCGATGGCGCAGGCGCAACATGACGTCCGACCGAAGAAACCGAGACCTACCTGGCCACGCACACCGCAGGGCCACCATCACCGCCCTGGCCCAACCTCCGCCCCTGCCGGTCTATATAAGGCATTACACTGCCACCAATAAACGAGACTTGATCAGGATACTGTCTTGTCTCCATTTCTCGTGTCTCTTGTCCCCCCGAGTTCCCACCCCCTCTTCTAGGGCCTACATTGACGATCCCGCCAGACGGGACACATCACTGTTAGACAACCAGTCTTGGGTTATCTTCTATTTCAGTATTGATGAACCCACACACTTTGTTATATGTAACAGGTCTCTCTCTGTAGCTAGATGTTTTCTACACAAAGCCATGCTAAATTACACCATGCCAGTCATTCAGCTAACACACTCAGGTTATTTGACATTTATTTCCTGTAATAAACAAGAATAAAAAATGAGAAGAAAACCAAAACATACAAGAACATAAAAAGTCCAACTAACATATCAGAAGCCTACAAAGCTCAGCAATTGTGCATTGATTCTGTCTGACTTTTGTAATAAGCATCCTGGAATTGGTTCCAGTCTGGTTGCATAAACCAGTGTTCCTCACTGACAACATCGAGCAGATATATAAGCTAGCTGAAAAAGAGAAAGAGCATTGACTTTCTTCAATGTATCAAAGCAATTCATAATATGTAGCATATACAAACTAACAACAACAAACAATAATAATGACAACAAAATGACAAACATTTTGCGGAAATTATGCTAAAGTTCTTTTCTTCACAAGCTAAAATGAAATTTTTTAAAGCTAATCTTCTAAATCCTTTTTAATTTTCTCTTTTTTTACCTTTCTTTCTTCCTTCCTTTTTTTGCTTTCTTTCTTTTCTTTCTTTCCCTCTCTCTCCTTTCTTTTTCTTTCCTTCCTTCCTTCTTTCTTTCTTTTTTCTTTCTTTCTTTTTTCTTTCTCTTTTCCTTCCTTCCTTCCTCCATCTTTCTTTCTTTCTACTTTCTTTCTTCTTTCTTTTTCTTCCTTTTTCTTTCTTTTCCCTTCCTTCCTTCCTTCCTTCCAACAATATTCTGCATTTGTTTTATTGTTCATTGCAATAAACAGAATGTTTACTCCCCCAAAATTTATGTGTTGAAATATTAAACCCGTAGGTGATGGTATTAGAAGGTAGGATCTTTGGGAGGTGATTATGTCATGAGAATGGAGCCCTTATGAATGAGATTAATGAATGCCTTTATAAAGAGGCCTGAGAGAGATTCCTCTCTCCTTCCACCATGTGAATACACAGTATGAGGGCATCGTCTAAGAACAAGAAAGTGGATTTTCAGCAGACACTGAATCTGCTGGCACCTTAATCTTGGACTTCCCAGCCTCTTGAACTGTGAGGAAAAAAAATTTGTTGTTTATATGCTACCCAATTTATGACATTTTGTTATAGCAGCCTGAATGAACAGTCATCCTTTATATTACATTTCAGTTTTACTTTCTAAATTTTTATCTTTTTTGAAAAGTTCAAAATATGGTATATAAATAAAATAATGTATGGATACACACATATACAGTCATGCATTACTTAATGATGAGGATATGTTCTCAGAAATGCATCAGTAGGTGATTTTGTCATTGTGCAAACATCACAGAGTGTACAAACATCGATAGTATAGGCCAGGACTTCCCAACCCCTGGCCACTGACCTGTACAGTTAGAGGCCTGGTAGGAACCAAGTCACACAGCAGTGGGTGAGTGGCAAGTCAGCGAGCATTACCACCTGAGCTCCGTTAGATAAGTGGTGGCATTAGATTCTCATAGGAGCCTGAACCCTACTGTGAAGCGTGCATGTGGGGGAGGGATCTAGGTTGCACACAACTTTGGAAAATCTAATGCCTGATGATCTGAGGTGGGACAGTTTCACCCCCACTCCACACAGAAAAATTGTCTTCCATGAAACTTGTCCCTGCTGGCAAAAACTTTGGGGACCCCTAGTATAGGTTACTGCTCACCTAGGCTATATTGTATAGACTTTAGCTACACCACGTCTGGTCCATTTAAAAGGTGTGGCACCTTCCCCACCCATTCTTTCTCTCTTGCTCCTGCTTTTGCCATGTTATACACAAGCTCCCTCTTCACCTTTCACTGTGAGTAAGAGCTGGCAGAGGCCTCCTTAGAAGCCAAGCTATGTCAGTGCCATGCTTCTTGTACAGCCTGCAGAACTATGAGCTGATTAAATATCTTTTCTTATAAATTACTCAGTCTCAATTATTTCTTTATAGCAATGCAAGAACAACCTAATACAACCATCTTCATGTATGTTATTTGTCATTGACCAAAATGTCATTATGCAGTACATGACTGTAGTTTAAAAATCAGTAATGAAAAAATCTTTCCAAGCACTGAGGCAGAAAACAGGCATATAACTTGCATTCCAGAAACTCCCTGGGTGCTTCTTTCTGAGCACATTCCCTTTTTCTCTGAAGAAGTATCACAACTCTGAATTATGTCTTAGTTGTTCCTTTTTACTTTTCTCATATTTTAATTTTTAAAATTTATGTTGAACAATACATTATTTTGACTAAGTTTATGTTTGTTTGTTTATATATTACATAGTTAGGTTTTCCAATATTTAGTTTAGGGAATATGTATAAAAGGAAATGTACTGTCTACACTTCTGAGTCTTCTTTTGCTCGACATAATATAATGACTCAAGATTGTAATATAATTTTGAGAGCCATTTATACATAGCTTTCAATCATTTTCACTATTACGTGATGATAGCGAAATACGATTCTACATTTTTTTTTTCAGATCTCCTTAGCAAGAAAAGACTGCAGGTAAGACTGAACTTGAAGTTTTGAGGATGAGGTGTCAGAAAGGAACTGTCTGAGCTTGGTATATTTCCACTCAACCTGGGCTATTGATATATCACAGGGGATGTTACGACTGAATGACATATAGTTTGAGAGACGTATTGAAACCATTTAATTCTATTCTTTTTTGGGCCCATAGAATCCACAATCTTATGCCAAAAGTTAAGATTTTGGCAGATAATAAGTGTCCATTGCATACCGAAGTGTCCCAAAGTGTAATTTTCTCCCCTGACACAAAATGGCAATAGCAATGGTCATAATAGGGAGAGGACAACCATGTTCAATGTAGAATGAGTCTCACTGACAGAAGAAGCCATTGTTTGGTGCCATTAAAGGAAGAAAAGTGGACTGGGCATGGTGGCTCACGCCTGTAATTCCAACATCTAGGGAGGCCAAGGCGGGGGATCACGAGGTCAGTAGATCCAGACTATCCTGGCTAACATGGTGAAACCCCATCTGTACTAAAAATACATAAAATTAGCCAGGCATGGTGGCACGTGCTTGCAGTCCCAACTACTGAGGAGGCAGAGGCAGGAGAATTGCTTGAACCTGGGAGGCAGAGAGGCTTCAGTGAGTTGAGATGGCACCACTGCACTCCAGTCTGGGTGACCTAGCGAGACTCCATCTCAAAAAAAACAGGAAAGAAAAGTAGGAAAATTACGTTTGCCTCCCGAGTTCACATTACTAGAAGCCAGGAAAATTCATAGAAATGACTGTTAACAATGCTGATGGGGAGTTATATTATAATTTAGGGTGCACAACATGCTTCCTTTTGCCAGTTACTAGCCTGTTTTTCAGCTGCAAATAAACAACCAAAAGCAATCAAACAGCACTGGGTATTTTGTGCTCAATCTTCCTCCCACATCAGGACTTCAGATTGCCCACACAGAGAGAAAGCCTAAAATGCTAACACTGAGAAAAGGAAAGGCCCACCTGAGAGCATAAAGGACACCTCCCAAAGGTTTGTTTACAGGACTTCTAGATGCAAAAGAAAAGATTTTAGAGCTTTTAATAATACAAACCAGTCTTCATGCAAATAATTCTATTAGATATCATTCAACAACTTATATTGAACTCTAAAGCAATATAAAAACAATTTTTATCAAAAAAGTCAATTAGAATTCTAGTTCTTATCCCCATAGCTTTCTGAAACACACCCTAAATTCAGCAGAATATTCACATTAGTTTTAACCTAAAACATTAGTGTTAACCATTAACATTAAAAATAATTGTCTACTATACTTAGATATAATCCAAGAATCTTTTTCTATACCTTTCTGAAAATTTACAATATATAATAAATGAAGACACTGCTCTTTCCCTGTCATATGTTTCTGGCACTTTTGTTGAACATCAATTGTCCATAGATGAATAGATTAATTTCTGGGCTCTTTATTCTGTTCTGTTGGCCAGTGTGTCCCCCATGCTCTTTTGAATACTGTATCTTTAAAGTGTATTTTAAAAGATATAGTGTGATGTTTTGAGGTTTGTAGTTCCTGCTCAAGATTACTTTGACTAGTCAACATCTTTTGTGGTTTCGCATACATTTTAGATTTTTTTCCTATTTCTGTAAAAATGTCATTGCAGTTTTGATAGGGATTTCTTTGAATCTGTAGATCACTTTGGGTAGTATGGACATTTTTAACAACATTAATTCTTCCAATTCATTAACTGGTCATACCTTTCCATTTAATTGTGTCTACTTCAATTTCCTTCATCAATGATTTATAGTTTTCACATAGTATATGACTTTCACGTCCTTAGTTAATTCTAAATATTTATTTTTCACTATTGTAAATGGTTTTTACAATAGTGTTTTCTTGATTTCTTTTTCAAATAGCAATAGTTTCAAATCCTACTCATTTTTGTATGCTAATTTTGTATCCTGCAACTATACTGAATTTGTTTTTTAGTTCTCACTATTTTTTGGTGAGGTCTTTGGGGGTTTTCTATACATAAGATCATGTTGTCCATTAACAGTCACAATTTTATTTCTTTGTATCTGATTTGGATGCATTTAATTTTTTTCTCTTGTCTAATTGTTCTAGCTAGGACTTCTAGTACTATGTTGAATAGAAATGGTAAGAGTGGGCATCCTTGTCTTTTTCTGATCTTGGTGGAAAATCTTTAAACTTTTCACCCTTGAGTATGACGATAGGTTTAAACTTGTTGTGTGGCCTTTATTGTATTGATGTACATTTCTTCTATAACAAGTTTGTTGAGAGCTTTTATTATGAAAGAGTGTTAAATTTTGTAAAATGCCTTTTCTGTATCTGTTGAGATGATCGTACGTTTTTTATCTTTGTTTTGTTAATGTGGTATACGGGCAT